AGAACCTCAAGCATCTCCTCTTGGGATGATGTCCAGTCGCCATTCGCCTTCTGAATAAACATTGGGTTCGTCGGATTTTTGGCAAGCACTTTGCGCAAGCGATTACCCTCCGATTGTCCCTCTATGCTTTCACAATAATCCTTCCAGGAGTCCCTTTGGGCTTTCCTGGTGGCATTCTTAAATATCTTTAAGGCTGCTTTGTAAGCAGGCCAAGAACCATTACGCTTTGCAGCGTTGAAGAGTTTCCTGCTGTCCTTCCTTAAAGAGGCAATTTCCTTAGTCCACCAGTGTGGCTTCCTCTTTCCTCTCGGAAGCACAATAGGACAGGACGCAGAGAAGGCCGTATTACATGCATTGGTGATGCAACCTACGGCTTCTTCAAATTGTTCCGATGAGCTTAACTCACCGAGAGAAACAGGGTTTGCGAATAGAGGCTCCGCTTCATCAGATGGTAACAGTAAACCGAGCCTACTGAGAGAAGCGTCGTTGAGCAGAGACTCCGATAGTACCGTCCTAAACACAGTCCAGTCGGTACGTCTCTTGTTTCTGTACAGAATCGGAGCCGGAGATTCCAAAGAGATTTCGAATGATAGGTACATATGGTCAGAGAATGAGTGGTCGTTTAGTGCATGCCATTCCCTAATACTCTCCAAGAAAAAATTGGACGTTAAGGTAATATCTAGTACCTCCTCCCTGTTTGAGGTAACAAAGGTGGGTCTACTACCAATATTACAAATAGCTAGATCATAAGATAATATGAAGTCAAGTAATAACTCACCTCTTGGGTTGATATCGGTAGAACCCCATAACGAGTGGTGCGCGTTTGCATCGGCTCCTACCACTCTTTACCACTCCAGTAACCGAGCAGGGGGGCAGTCTTGGCGATCGTGAGCCATATAGGTTGAGACCAGCCAGAGTTTGGTGGATTTTCCCTCCACATTGATGCTCACCGTGTCTTCATCGCTAAAATGAGTGAGTAAATTATAAGAAATAGTTTTCTTGATTAATATACATGCTCTGATTTTACCTGCCACTGGGGCCGACACAATTTGGTAAGCATCAGAGTTAAGTCCGCAGACCCTGTTTTTTACGACCCAGGGCTCTTGGACAAAAATTAACTCCTCCCCTTTCCTCCGGCGTCCAACGTTGCCGATGCCAGGAACAGGTTCTCGAAATCCCTCGTCCATTGGCCGAAATCAGCCCCGTCTCCAGCAGCGGATTGCGTATCGCTTTCCAATTCTGATGTCGAGTCTGATTCCTCCGCCAGACGAGGGACCACGGGAACCTCCTGGACTTCTTGGCTAGGGGCAGGACCGCTCGAGGCGTTTTCTGCCCTACTCGAAATAAGACCTTCTTCATGTGGCAGATTATCGGGTTCACTCGAGGTGCTTCCCGGCTCAGAAATTTTACCCTCATTCCCTTTCTGGGTTTTGAGAGTGATGGAGTAAAAGCCGTAGCTGATGACTCCATTGCAGTCAGCGAGGATCGGGAGAGATTCCTCGTTAATTACCAGGGTAATATAACGTTGTTGTTCCCTAACCTCACTGACCTTCACTACTCTACAATCGAGGGCTGGTAGTGTGTCGTTGGAGATCTGGATAATCTCCAGAATTCCCTGCGCATTAGCGGGTTCCTCCGGGACCCATAGCCTGGCTCGCGGCCTGCAAGGGATTTCATCCCTATGCACTGCCACTAAGTCAGCGCTGGGCCACAGTTCCCCAAGCGCAGATATGGCCTCCTTATAGAGCCTAGCCGACCTTTCGTCGGCGCACGATACCAATTTAATACGGCCTTGGTATAAGCCAGCGTCGCGAATGACAGGAGCAGGGCCAGGATTCCTTTGGAGAATTTCCTTGTACACCCGGCAGAGACCTACAAGGACAGTCCTCCAATTCTCGGCTGTCAGGTTTCCCTCTGGGTGCCCCCTGTCCATTAGGCACATTTTAAATAGCCTAATATTGGAGCGATTACAATTAGGATTTAGCACAATATATATATATCTTTTTAGGTCGCAACGCGGGTATTCCGACGTAATAATAATAATATAGTTACTTGACACGAATAAAGACGCTCGGGTGTTTTGACGGCGAAAAAAGATGCGTGAAAAACATTTGCGAAAAAAGACACGTAAACATGGATTCAACATCATTCCGGAAAAACTCTTTGGGGAATTCGTATACTCCCAAACATAGTTGACCGCGAAACTAAGTCTTCTTCGTCTTTCTTCCCCGTCAAAGAGGTTAACACGTCTTTCTTTGCCCTCGCCTATGTTAAGAGTTTTTCTTCGCTGGTTACTCTCCTCCTCTGATGTTTCAGAATGTTATTATGCTTTTAAGACAGTTCTGTCTGAGTTTTTTATGAATAACATTCCAATTTTAATGAAAAAGCCTTATAAGTTGCCGTAGTACAATCGAAAACTAAAAAGTCTAAAGAATCTTAGAAATAATTTTTTTTTTTCAAATGTAAGAAAACTGGTAGCCAAATTTTGTTTGTCAAATACCAGAAATATTTCAAAGAGTTTAACTGTTTGGATAAATTTCTTTACAGGAACTACATACTTGGCGTGGAGTCGAATATTAAATCTAATCCCAAAGCATTTTGGAGATATGTTAAATCTAAATTCTAGTATACCTTCAGCAGTATATCTCGAGGGAAAGTTTGATAGTAACCGTAGTGACGTTGCGAATCTATTAGCTGAATTTTTCAGTTCAAATTTTTCTAGTGACAGGGTTCGTAGTTTCGATCTCGATTGTTCAACTAACTGCCCTCTCAATTTTAGCTCATTGGTTTTGTCTTCGGACGATGTCTCGTATGGGATCGCCAAGCTTAAACAGGCATTAAAAACTGATGTAGATCGCTTTTCTGTATTTTTTATTAAAAACCTACCAGCTTTGGTTTTACCATTACGTATTGTTTTTAATAAGTCTCGTGCCTCAGGTACTTTCATTGACGATTGGAAAGTTACGTATCCTAGTCCCCTGTTTAAAATTGGCAATAAAAATAATGTCTGTAACTATAGACCTATTGCTAAGCTTTCAACTATTTCTAAAGTTTTTGAAAATATTGTTGTGGGAAAGATAAGTTTTGCGACCAAAAGCTTAATCTCCCAAAATCAACATGGTTTTGTGCCCAACCGTTCCACAGTTTCCAACTTAGCGGTTTTCAGTGAATACTGCATTGCGCCCTTTACAAGAGGACTTCAGGTTGACTGTATTTATACAGATTTTTCTAAAGCTTTTGATAAAGTGTCTCATTCTATTTTAATTAGTAAAATAGCTAGCTACGGATTTCAGTCAGTTTTTCTGCAATGGGTTAAATCCTATCTGTCCAACAGGCGATGTGTAGTCACTATTGATAGCACATCTTCCACATCTTTTGTTGCTTCTTCTGGGGTTCCTCAAGGAAGTATTTTAAGCCTTTTACTTTTCGTTGTGTTTATTAACGATGTAAGTACCTGTTTGTCCTTCAGTAATTATATGCTATATGCGGATGATCCAAAAATTTTTTCTTCCACAAAAGACCTGAGTGACGTGCATCAACTTCAAACTGATTTGGATAATTTGCATCTTTGGTGTACTAAAAATCACTTTTCTTTGAATATTAAGAAATTCTTCAAAATTACTTTTGAAAAAAATCATAATGTTTTGTTGACTCGTTGCCATATTTGTAACTGCTTCCTAGAATCTGTTGAAGAAACAAAAGATCTTGGCATTATTTTTTCATCGAATTTCACATTTAATAGTCATATTGACCACATTGTTAGAAAATCTTATTCGACTCTATGCTTCGTCAGGCGGAACTGTGCACAATTCTCTGATCCATATACCCTCAAACTGCTATATGCGTCCTTCGTGCGGTCCTCTTTGGAATATGGTACGTTCTATTAGTCGCAATGAGCGTGTTCAGAAAGTGTTCCTTAAATTCGCTTTGCGATCTTTGAATTTTTCTGAACCAACGCCTTCTCATTTGCTTCTAATAAATCTTAAGACCTTAGAGACCTAGGAGATCGGTACTCTCACTCTCCTTTATGTTGTTAGAGGCTCTTTGGATTGTACTTTTTAATTGGACCGTACCAATTTTAATATTCCGCAGAGTAATTTACGTGTCTTTTTACCTTTCTATGAGGGCTATTGTAAAACTGAGAATGCACGTAATGCCCCAGTTCCACGCGCACTTAGTGATTTAAATAAGATCTCGAGTTCTATCTCAATTGATTTTTCCTTTGAAAAATATGTATTTGTTAATATTCTGAACTGTTATTTTTAATTTCCCTATTTAACTAGAGTTCTGTTCTTACATACATTTGTACATGGTATTTATCGAGTGATCTTAGTAATAACTTTCAGTTTGCCTATAGTCTGTAAGAATAAGTATTGTATTTCATAGACTAAGTCAAGTTAAACAAATAAATTGGCCCTTTAACATTAAAAAAAAGATAAAGATCTTGAATAGCACTACAACGTGTTGTGATATAAAATTGTGAGAACGATGCACAGCTGCATGCAAATAAAAAAGAATGAAAAAAATGCATTATTTAAATTGAGGGGCAAAATTTTTTTCCATTTTAAACAGGGCAATCGTGTTTCTCGTCTCAGAATCAATAATATTACTGTAATAAAACCAGGGTTTGAAATTGCTTGACTATTTTCAATGCATTCGCAATTGCTTAGCTGTGACTTAAGAAAAACAAACAGCAAACAGAAAAAGCGAAAGGAGACATGATATCATTTGCTTTTCCTTACAACGCAGTTTGTTTTTGCTTAAACAGCACCCAAAGCAAGCAGTTTAGAATAATTTGGTGTTGCTGTAAGCAGTACGTTTGGTGTATTTTCATGTTTGCTTTTTTCCTTGCTGTGTTATTCTCGCAGCCGAAAGCAACTATTTGAGCAAAAGTTGAAAATTTATTATTAGTAAGTTATCTTGTTAGGTTTAATTTTAAAATTTTGTATATTCAAAAGCTACAGTACGCAATATAAATTTACTTTATTTTTATATTTTAGATCTGTGCAATCTTAAAACCGAGATAATGCAAAATGAATCCCGATTGGAAAGTTATCCTCTATCCAAAGGAATATTGGATTTAATATTTTCTTTATTATGTTCATATATGCCTAAAAATCTTGGCGCAGATCACCGAAAGCCAGGGATACAGCCTTACGTAACCTTTGTTGTTGACGAAATTTTTTTTAAATTTTACGACCGGTAAGTATATCTAAACTATTATAAAAATAAGAGAGATTTATTTGTTTATATATAGGGGTAACCTCTAAACATTGTCACTTGTACAAAGCGTTAATAGTCCCAAAGATCATGTCCTGAATTTCGCAGCAACTACAGAGTTCGAAGGATGCGTGAGCGCGTAACAAGTGCTGACACATTGAATGTTTATGTGAGACCGGTGATACCTAAAGTGGTCGAGGTTGACCCGCAGGTTGGCGTGCAAAATATGAGGGTTCATCTGGCTTCGGTAGTAAAGAATAAAAATGTTGGCTTGGCACTACTCAAAAAAATTACGGAGGGAAAAAATCAACATTTTTCGACAATTTTTGACAGGCTGTATTTCGGTGGTCGTATTGAGACTTTAAACAAGCATTTTGAAGGCTTAACGTTCTAATTTTCAGATTTCTTGTCTAAAAATTTCTAGGAGCTACGGTTCGCATGTAGCCCAGACAGAAAGCGAAAAACAACAATATTGCGAATTTGTTTTTTTTTTTAGTTTGTTTAGTGTATAGTGCATTGTATAAAGCTTCCATCTTGCCCCTCACTATAATCAATTCAAGTGCGTAATCAATTTTGATTTCCTCTTTTATGAGTTAAAAAAGAGAGCGCTCTTAGTTTTTCTTTAATACTGCTCAGGTTTTTCGCCTCTATATTTACCTCACACTCCTATGCCACTCAAAATATTACTCATAAAAGAGCGTTCTGCCTTTTTTGCTTATCCAGCTTTCATCACTCAGCGGTTTTAATCGTTGATAAATTCATTAAAGCAGCAGGGAAGGTTCATTGAGCAATCATTTTATTTATGCTCTGAATTTGATGCACCGCACAGTGTTTCGACTATATGGATGCAGGTGGAAATAATAGTACACCTGCACCGATTTCACTGAAACTTGACATGTGCTCTAGTTTTACTTAGAACGAGAGAATTATGAAATTTTGTAAAGATGGAATAATTGCCACGCCCTCTAGTCTTCTGGGCGGAAACATTAAATTTTATCCGATTTCGTTGAAATTTAGTTTGTGGTCTTTATTTTATTACAAAAACCTAAATATAAAATATGGGAAAGATTGGATAACTATAACGTCCAAAATTCACAAAAAAATGTGGGCCCAGGCATTAAATGTGATCGAATTTTGGTTAAATCTTGTTTCCTGCTTCCCACTCTCAGAAAACAAAGGTTATACTATAAAATGACGTAGGTGTAAATACTCATTTTTTCCCAATGTCTGGTGAGATTTTTTCATTGCTCGAAAAATTCTTTTCGCGAAATTATGCAAAAAGAAGCTGGTAATCAAAAATTAAGAAAATTAAAAATTACATATACTTGCAAAGTCGCGCGCAAAGATAAAACAATATATTCGAAAACTACATAAAATTCTCTAAAACATTCATCTAATGTCAAGACCTGACGGACCGGTACTCACATTTTTTTTTTACTAATAATCTTTAGCATCTACATTTCAAAGTAAATTTTTTGGTAAGAAAATAGGAAAGTACCTAATAAATGGTAAATACCTTCACCTGAATATTTCACGACATATATAATTGATTACAGTTGGAAAAGGAACACTTTCTTTAAAGGGTTAATCGCCAAAGGCAACTAAACTGATTAGTCGGTATCGCGCCCATTCCCTTTTTTTTTCGTTCGTGAAGAAGGGGGGTAAGTAAATAATGTAAAATTTGGTATTTATGACTTTTACTTTTCCCTCTCTAAGTCCAACCGGGTTTTTTATCAACGGTCACCATGACTTTTTTCTACCTGCCTCCATATAGTCGAAACACTGTGCGTCGCTTGCTTGGTTGTTTCTCATAGCTTTTTCTAGAGGCGCTCTTTCCTCTATTATCAGTTTATGAATTAAAAATTTGGCGAAATAAGCCGTGCGGTTTTGTTGTTTAAAGTTTTGTGTTTAAAACCGTAAGTGATAAATATTTTTCCCATCACTTTATAACTCGGAGCGATGTAAATACACATGATGCCGTCAATACGAACATATACTCCTCACGCAAATTTATGACTGAGCGAAATATGTGACTAGTTTATAGTAAAGAGAATGTAAATAACGCTAGCGCTCTGAGTGTTTGAAATTGGAGCGCTCTTAGAAATATAACTCCTCAGGGTGAGAGCGTATTTTGATGGCTTTACGGACTCTGTTTTTAGAAGGTCAGCGACTGCTACTTGTAAAAACTTGCATATTTCATCGTTCGATCTAATCTTCACAATTATTTTGGCGAGCTTTGAGAATATGGTAGAAATGTAGCAGCGCCCCCGTTGCCAGAAATTTTGTCAACTGACGCCACAGTGGGGACCTCCCTCTTGCTTTGCTACCACCAGCGGGTTCCAAGTTGAATACTTTCAAAGCTGGAGCGTCGGTGTGCATGCGAACGACATGGCCAAGCTAGAGGACTATGTCTTTATCGTTGGGAAGCTCATACAGCTCTTCGTTTCATCGTCGACGCAAAAAGGCCCGTGAATCATCTGCAGAATCTTTATCCCAAAAACTAAACCGCCTCATCAGATGTTTTCATTGTCCATGTCTTTATTGACTTCCAAGTAAATAATCATATTTCTTGGCTATACCTACGCAAAAGCGCATTAACAAAAGACCGATTTGATTCAACACGTATTTCTTTCAAACGTTTATTCCTCAGTTCTTGTAGGGTATTCGATGAAACCGTATTCTGAAGTAAACGAAGTCTGTTGCTCCGACATTTGTTTAATAATAAATATGCGCGTTGGATCGAAATGGAAGCGAACAGTAATACAAATTTATTATAGTAATAACTCCAATTAAAAACGGGCTGTATAAAGAAACCCAGCAAACTTCGCGTTAAAAACAAATTCGGGAATATAGGCACAAGAAAAGCTGCTATCCCATTGCTTTCTGCAGCTGGACAGACCAAATTCAAACTTGCCATTATGCCTAATTGAGAAATATAGCAAGATTCTTGAGCCAGTGGCCAACGGAAAACCTGTATAAAATTAAGTGTGCTGAGCATATAAAAGAAATCATAACAAAAATAAAAGAACACAGGAAATACGTTCACAATCACTCTGTATAGCTTTTAGAATCAGCAAGGAATGAAACTGAACTCTTGAGTATTGAATTACATCTCCCTAGAATCGACAAAACATTGTGAATGTTACTTTCTTCATATGAATTATATCACATTTTTTGTTGAATTGTATGTTTTTGGAATAAACAAAGTTCTTGTTTCTTCTGTCAGTAAACTGTTTTTATTACAAATGGTATAAATGAGCAATGGGAAATATGGCAAAATTTGTTTTATATCCAACCTTTGTTGGAAATAAAGCAAAAGTCAGATTTTGGTATTATTTCCCATTTAAATGTGAAATTAAGCAAATTTTGCGTTATTGCCGTTTGTGTTCTTTCTCCCACCGTTTTATTTACCGTTATTACACCCTTTCAAATCGCTTTCTTCGGAAACATGTATTTTGATTACGCGGTCGGATACACCCAGAAAATGGTTTAGTTATAATTGCCAAGATTTGGTGACCAAATTGCATAGTTGGATATGGCGAAATAAATATCTCCTTGGCGAAAGTCTGCAATTTACTTGAGCATTTTTTTTGAACAAATGTATATCTGCTATCTTGATCCGACAATATTTTTAGTTGACCCAGTCATTGTTGGGTAAAAATATACAGTTCTTTGGTTGATGCAAGTTTAATCCTTTATTATTGCCAAAATGATTGAGTTTGGTTCAAATAAAAATTTACTCAATGGTTATTGTGTTTATTAGAGTGTTTATTTTCTTATTTTAAGTGAAATTAATATTAAGCATACAAAATACATACATACATACATAAATATTTATTAGTGTAAATTATAAATTTACGGTGGTAAGAATTTACTAAAAAGAAACGAAAATATCTGCTGGTAGTGCTTGTTTAAGTACATTGCTTTGATTTTTATTGGTTAAATACACACTTGTAAATTATAACTAAGTTGCATTTTATATCTATTGACAAACAACTCCCGGCGATAGTAAAACTGAAACTGAAACAAATAAGTTTGCGCATGTCATAGCCATATCTAAATTATAGTGTAAAGATCAGTATATCCAGTAAAAAAACTGTGGTGAAGTCCTTTATGGGGATAAAGTTTCCAGAGATGAAGTTTTAGGTAGCACACAATTTCTTACACGCATGGTTGCTTTTCAGCACTCATGAAAGAAACTTAAGAAATATTTGAAAAAAAAAAGTTCATATAGTACATTAATTTTGGAAAGAAATACCATATAATGTATGTACTCTGGTTAATAATATCAAAAAATGTATTAGAACCACCGTTTAATGTTATATTTGATACAAATTAATATGGCTGCCCCGAACGCTCTGCTCCTTGCCCCTGAATAATACGTTTACTTAAAATTACATCCCTGGTCCTTGTTCTTTCTGTATCGCATCGTGGTGAATTCACATTTCTCAGAAATTTGACAACAAAACAAAGCGAGTATTTTATTTGCTAATTTTTGCGATTTCTATTGTTTAATGTAAATTTATGTCTTTTTAGGATATGTCGAGCCAACAAAGAAGGCGCAGTTGGAAAATTGAGTAATTAGTAATGAAGTAGCAGGCATATTTGGAAAATTATGCCGATAAGCAGGATGGAATTTGGGAAAGTAAGTGCATGGTTGCAGTATATCTATGTATAAAAAGTATTTAATTAAATTGTTTATAGAAATGTTATAAATCGAGTGGCTCATTTACGATGTGCTCCAAACATTTGGCGACCTTTTTCTCCTTTTCAACGTGCTAAGTAACAAGTTAAGAGGACTGCCATCACGGCCGGTAAGAAACCGCAAGCAAAGGGCAGACAACCTTCCAGGAAGGTGCCTCCTGTCCCCGAGTCGAAGCTGCAGTTCAGCAAGAGCAGGTCAGCAAATTGCTACCCTGGTCAAACGTAAACTAAAGCGCTCTGCTGTGATTGCACTCCGAAAACGTGAAAACTTGGTGCAT